ATCCCACCGCTCAGCCTCCTCGGTCCCAGGCCCTGGGGCCAGCTCAGGAGCGGAGGGAATTAATTACATTTTTCCCATCCCCTTCTTTTAAAGGAGGGGAGAGCGCCACCGCGTCCCGGGGAGGGGGTGGCGAGCGGAGGATGTGGAAGGAGGGCTGGCACGGTGCTCCCGCAGCCCGCACCCCCCAAACCTGCAAGTCTGTCCCCAGCGGCGGAAGGGGGATGAGGCCGCCCCTTATTGATTTAGTCTGGTGGAGGCTGGGACTGATTTAGAGCAGAGGGAGAGGAAGGGGCTGGGGGCGGGCGGGGGCTGCGGCGGGTGGGGGCCTGAGGAAGGGACGGCTGTCACTCAGCCTGACAGACAGCCCGGAGATTTGCCTTCAGATAAAACCTTACAGATGTGGAGGTCGGTATTGATTTTGAGTTAGTAACGGTAACGTACCAAGAAGTAATACATTAGCGAAAGCAAGGTCACCGGGAAAAAAGTAAAACCCACCGGGGGAGAGGCCTTAGCATTCTTGAGGGGGGTGGATTACCGCATCAGACTGGGACTTCCTCAAGTTCAAAAGTTTGCAGGCCCCAGACTTTGGCTGGGCCGCTAACCCTGGCCCAAGCTTCCTGCTTCTGTGGGCGGAGAGGGGCTTCCAGGGGTCCAGGGGCCAGCCCGAGGCCACAGAGGGCCACTTGGGTCCTCAGCACCCCCCACCGCCAGGTTGTCAAGGGTCTCTCTCCCCACCATCTCTGGCACAGCCTAGTGGGAAGCAGCACAGCTCCGGGTCAAGGAGACATGGGTTCAAATCCTAACCCTGCTGATTCCTGGCTTTGTGATCTGGGGTGTGCCTTTCCTCTTCCTGTGCCTTAGTTTCCCTGTCTGCAAAATAGGGGGAATAATAGCTCGGTTGCTCGAGGAGTCAATGCTACCACCTCTCTTCAGCTGGGTCCTGTCCCACTTGCTTGGAAACTGCCATGCCTGGAGACCGGGCATGGGATGAAATGGCAGCCCTTTGATCCATTGGCCGCCAGGGACTGTGGGAGAGAGTATGCAGCCTCCTTGCATCCTCATTCACACCTATCCCAGATGTGGATTTGATTTGATGTTCCAGGGCAAATCCCATTGAACAAATCCCATTACAGGAAAAATCTCCCCCGGCCTGAGCTGATGCTGAGCGCCCCCCTCCCCCAGCCCCTGGGCACCACACAAGCCCCTTCTGACAAACTCCAGGAGGCCTAGGAGCTCTCAGGATTTTCATTCTCAGCATTGACCTTCTTCCTATTTCTTAAACCTGCTGGGTATGCTCCCACCCCAGGGCCTTTGCACTTGCCAGCTCCGCTGCCTACAAAGCTTTTCTGCTACATCCTCCTTTGGCTGACTCTTTCTGGTCTTGCTGGATAGCACTTCTTGGGGAGCTCTTGCCTGACTACTGTATTTATTCCCTTTGTCTATCCTCTATAAACACTTCTCAGCATCAGAAATTATATTATGTATTTACTGGTTTGTTGTCAGCCTCCTTCAGGAGAGGCTGGCTCCAGGAGGGCACGGAGTGGCTGGTGCTCACTGCTGCATCCTCCATGCCCAGCTCAACATCTGGCACGTATTAGGTGCTCACTACAGATTTGTTAAGTGATATCCATGAATTCAGCCGGTTTTTCTGGGTTCCTAGTATGGAGCAGGCACAATGTCTGTGCTGGAGGGGCAGAGGTGGGTCCAACCCTATCTGCAGCCTGGCACATGGTAGCCTTCTATGAAATGTTTGTTGAATGAATAAATGAATGAATGACAGATGTCTTCGGGAAACCCCATATCACTCGGTAGCCAGGACACAACGTGTAAGGCAGGAAGAGAGGGAGGAGTTAGACTAGGTAGCTAGCGGTCTGATCACAAAAAGACTTTGTCCTGTTTATCTGGGAGGGAATGAGGTGCCACTGATAATTTTTTTTAAGATTTTATTTATTTATTTGAGAGCAAGAGAGAGAGAGGAGAGAGCGGAAGCTGGGGGAGCTATAGGGAGAGGAGGAAGCAGACTCCCTGCTAGGCAGGGAGCCCAATGTGGGGCTCGATCCCAGGACTCTGGGATCACAACCTGATCCAAAGGCAGACACCTAACTGACTGAGCCACCCAGGTGCCCAGCCACTGATAATTCTTGAATGCTGTGGTCAGATCTGTGGCAGTTCTCTGTGGGTTTCTGTCCCCCAGGATGAGTACCGTCTGTGCATAGCTCCCAGCCCATCCCAAAACATGCTCCTCCCCTCCCATTCCATCGTCTCTAGTGGGCTTGGTGTGTTGGCGGTGTGCAGGAGGGAGGATTAAACTGGGGTCTCACCAGAGCTGGAACACCCTCCTGAGAGCCTCCCCGTGCCCACAGTTATCCTCCTGAAGGAAGGGAAATGGGGTCTGTGTGTTTTTCTGAGCCTCTGAGTCTATTTTTGGAGTCCAGGCCTCCTTCCAGGGGAGAGCAGGGTTAATGTTTATATTGGGGTGGGGGCGGAAATGGAGTGGGCAGTGATTTTGTTAATTTAGATGGAAAGTGGAGTCTAGATTGGGCACCTGACGGGTAACATGGAAGGGAATCATGTCCCCTAGCCCCCTGGCAAATGCTAGATTCCTGAGTTCGCCCTCAGATCCCGCCCAGACACACAGCAAATCTCCTATGCCCCAGAGAACCCATCTGCACAGTCGGAAAGCAACAAACACAGCCCACACTGTCAGGCATCGTCACCCACCACCCCTTCATGGGGTCCTTCTTGCCACCTCCCCTCTGCCCCTCCCACCAAAGAGTGTGAGTTCAGGGAATCCCACGGGTCAGGCCATGGCCCAGAGTAGCTAGACACCTGCCCGGACCCTCCCGTCCTCACACCCCCATCCCCAAGTGTCTGCCTTGTTGATGGGGCTGATACACTGTCAAGTTCCCCCCCAGCTGTAGGGGAGGAAAAGACCAGCCCTCCCCAGGCCCAGTGCCCTTGACTCTGGCTCTGGGGGGAAGGGGAGCGAAAGGACCCAGGACGGTGAGCCCAGGGTGAGAGGATTGTGCCGGGAGCATCCAGAGAAGGGTCAGGGAGAGGCTGTGCTCCTGCTCTAGCCACGAGGGGCCCCAGCGTCACTCACCCCTGAGCAGCGGCTGCCCGGGGCACGAGCTGCTGCTGGCCCCTGGAGTGAGGACCTCTGAAGGGGTCAGACGCTCAGACCCACCCTGGAGAGTCAGTTGTGACTCTCAGGCGAATGGGCTCAGGCCTCTGTGGGGAGCTGCTCCCCACAGGCTTGCGGTGAGGTCTGGAGAGGCCTTAGCCTTTTGAAGGTCTCTGTTACTTTGTCTGAGGAAGAGGCCTCACGGCGCAGCCTCACACACCTGGGTAGGCCCCTGGACTGGGAGAGCCATGTGAGTTCATGCCAAGACAAAGGAAAGGAAGGAGAAAGGGAGGACAAGGCCTGGGGACTCTGGGGCCCTGTTTCCAGGAGCGCTGGCCTGGCGCGAAGCCCTCTGCACACAGACACCAACTCTTGCCCCCCAGCCACCCTCTGAATTAGGGACAGTCGTCATGTCTTTTCCTCAGGACTGCAGGCAGCCACATTGCTAAGGGACACCTCGGGCTGCCAGTGGAGGAGACCAGGGGCTGTCCCTGGCCTGAGGATTCCACACCCATGCCCTCGACCCCCGCCCTGCCTCAGTGTTTCTGGTAGGGACAAGTCACGGAGGAGAAGGTAGAAGTTTCCAGAAGGCATCCAGTCAGCAACAAGATCATTGCTCTGATGCCTCTAGGCTCTCTTCTCCCAAGAGGCAAGTGGGGAAACCAGAGAACACAGCCTGCCGCTTCAGCTCCCTGCTGGGCGGGTTAGCAGCTCGGCTTCCCACCTGACGCTGAAGCCTCCCTCCCACAAGGCATGTGGCTTCCCCAGGAGGCCAGCAAGGTCCTGGGCCCTGTGGGTCTGCAGCACAAGGGCCTGCCTCTCCATCATCTCCCGGGATGGGACGGGACACCCGCGCTTCCACACAGAGGGGCGCCTAGCTGCCTGCATCACCTTTCCCCACTCTTACCTGGAGAGCTGGACAGCAGCTGTCACCTCCTCCAGAAGCCTTCCTGGACCACCAGACTGGCCCTTCCCTGGGTTCCCACAGCCCCTGCTGAACGGACTCTGTCGTGCTCCTCACCACTTCATATCCTGAGGGTCTGCTCCCTGCTGCCTCCTCCACCAGACGTAGAACATCCCTGCCGAGGGCAGGGACCGTGGTTCTTCCTCCTCTGAAAACCCAGGGCCCTGCCCGAGGCCTGGGGCTGCAGTCACCATCAGTGCATGTTTGTTGAAGGAATAAGTGAACACATCAGTGAACTGACACCAGGTTCTTTAAGCTGAGTGTAGAGAGGTGACCTCCCCCTGCCAGGCTGGGATCACCAGTCCTATTTGCTGTTCTGGCCAAGCAGGGACATGGTGACGATCACAGACATCTGAGAGTTACCGGAGTCAGAGAAAGATACCCACGAGGCTCTTCAAAAGGATTGACCATGGATGTTGGCACTGTAGGGGCAGGATCTCCAAGTCAAGAGCAGAGCAGGCCTGCCTCAGGACAAGGAGTGAAGCTGGACTAGATCCAGAGTCCTGTTCTAACCTCTATGTTGGAAGATGGGGGCCTCCGAGTCTGACAGAGGAGGCATGGTTTCCTGTCTTGGAGGAGACCCTGTCTGATGGGAGAGACATCAGCTAGTTTGTGAGTTCATTCATTCATGCGACAGACACCAGATATCTCTTAGAGCCAGGCCTGGGATACCCAGGAGGGGAACGCGGCCCTCCCCTGCCCCCTGGAGCTCTGGATGAGGGGTCATTCCATGGGTCAGGATCCGACCAGGAGAAACCACCAAATGTCTTACCCACAGGGGCTAGCAAACCTGGTGAACTGAGGCTCTCGGTGCTGCACAGGGATGTCGAGGGAGCAACCCCAGCCAAGGGCCCGTCCTCCAAGCCCCCCACGCCTGCCACTCTGGCCGCGCTGATCGTCTCTCCCCCACAGGTAATGAGCATTCTGAGCAACCCCAGCGCCGTGCCGCCGCAGCCACAGGCCGACTTCTCCATCTCCCCGCTGCATGGTGGGCTGGACTCGGCCACGTCCATCTCGGCCAGCTGCAGCCAGCGGGCCGACTCCATCAAGCCGGGAGACAGCCTGCCCACCTCCCAGTCCTACTGCCCGCCTACCTACAGCACCACCGGCTACAGCGTGGACCCCGTGGCTGGCTACCAGTATGGCCAGTACGGCCAAAGTGAGTGCCTGGCGCCCCAGGCGTCCTCCTCCCCCTCCCCGTCCCACTCCAAGGACGGTCTGTTGATTTGCAGAGAGCTGCAAGATGGTGTTGGGGTGGGAGTGCCCATTTCACAGACGAGAAAATCGAGGCCCAGAAAGAATGGGCTGTTGTCTTAAGCTGATGCTGAGCCCGGGCCCTGCACTCCTGCTACTGTGGCTCTAGAGCAGTGCTGTCCCTTAAGACCATACTAGGAGCCACGAAGGGCATTTACAATTTCCTGGTAGCCACAGCTGAGAACGTTAAGGAGAAGCAAGTGGAATGATTTTTTGCTAACATTTTTTGTTTGACCTGGTATATCTGAAACGATCATTTTGACACATAATCCATATCGAGTTATGAGTGAGATGTTTTCACGTTTCTTTTCTCATGCGGCATCTTTGAAATCCGGCCCCTTTTAATTCAGACACTTAAGTTTTCATAGAACTACTCAATCCATATTTAAATTTCATAAAATTACAACAGAGTAGTGGGTTTACACACCCAAGTTGTTCCAGATATACTGTAAAGTTTCCCAATCATTAAGCTAAATCGAATTTCAGTCTTTCACATTTAAAGTAGATAAAATTAAATTAAAATGTAAAATCCGGTTCCTCAGTGGCACGGCCACGTTTCAGGGGCTCAAGGGTCACGTGTGGCTGGCGGCTGCCATGATGGATGGTGCGGTTTTAGGGACCCTGACCGTTTCTGCCCCTGGGTGTGGGGGGGACAGCTGGATTTTCCTTTCTGTCCCGTACCCAACCCCCCACTGTCCTCAGCCCTGTTTGCTCCAAACTTTAAGCTGGTGTCACGTGCCCTCCCCGGCCACCATCGCCTTGGCACCTTGCCTACATTCGGGCTGGGGAAGGGGGGGCGGGTGACCCTCGGACCAGAGGCTACAAAAGGCAGAGTGACCCAGCCACAGCCTCCAGCTGCCAGACGGGACAGTGTGAGGGCAGGCGGGAGGCACTGGGAGCTGGGGTCACTGGGAGGAGGCTCCCCTCCTCCCCCCACCCCGGCAAAGGCCTCACCTGCTGGTGTCAAACTAATCAGAAGGGCATTGGGTGAGAGGCTGAGGTCCCAGCCCGAGGGCGTCCTCTGCCCTCCTCCACCTCCCTGACCTCTGCTTCCTGCCCCCCACACCAGCCGCTCCTCCTCGCTCGGCCTTGGCCTCCACAGCTAAATGAGGGCCAGCTGTGCCGGCCTCCACCTCCAAGCTGTGCTCATGGCCCCCACCCCGTGTGTGTGTGTTTGTGTGTGTTCAGTGCGTGTGTGTGCACCTATGTGTATGAGAACACACACAGCATAGACAGGTATGATTCGTGTGTCTGTGTGTGTCCTGTCGTTCAGCATACACGTGTTTGCCCACACATCCTTGTGTGTGGGTGTGTGCTGTATGTGTGAGTGTGAGGGGCACACGTGAGTGTGTGTACACGTGGCTGTTCACCTATCTGAGTTTAAATGAGCCTGTTGTGTCCACGTGATAGGCGTGTGAGTCTGTGTGTGAACACGCAAGTGCTCACATATCTGGTCCTGTGAGTGAGTGTGTCTGTCCTGCATACACACGTGTGTTTCAGTGTACATTCAGGTGTGCACAGGTGGTGTGCCTGTATGTGTGATGTCTGTGATGGGCATATGTCACTCTGGGGACGTGTGTAACAAGCAGGTGTGCATGTGTACAGACGTGTGTAAGGGTGTGCAGATACGTACATGTGGCTCCATATCTGAGTGTATACTTGTGCGTTCTGGTATGCACAGATGCTTGCCTGTGTCCACGGATCTGTAAATGTCCTGGAGTACATGCACACTACACGGGCGGTGTGTAAATCTGGGTGCGTGTGTGCTACGTCGTGTACCTAGGCGAGGCCACGTGTACCTGTGTAGAGCTGTGCCTCGCGGCACGGACACGTGGTGTTGCCCATGTGTGTAGCCGTGCCTGCGTGGAGTGGCGCGTGTGAGGGACAAGTGTGTGCAGGGGATAGAGCACGTGTGTGCAGGTAGGGTGGAGGGCAGGGCTCGCACGTGTGCATGCGAGTGTTTCCAGAGGGGCCCAGGGCGATCCCCAGGCTCAGCCCCCGTGCCCAGGCAGGGCGAACGGGACACACATGCTCTTGATAAAGAGTTGAGAGCGGCTCCGTGGAGGCAGCGGCCGGCCTGGGGCGGGCGTTAGTCACACCCGGAGCCCCGCGCCCTGCTCCAGGGGTGCCTGCCCAAGTCGGAAATAAAATTAACCCCAAAGTCAGCATGGGGGCTGCAAGGAGGGGGGATCAAAAGGGAAAGGGCCCAGGAGGCGAGAAAGGAGTGTTTGTTCCCCCTCTGCTAGGGGAGAAGCTGGCCAGAGCCATTTCCCCTCCCCCTCCCCCCTCCTGCCTTTCCGTTCTCCTCACTCTCCCCTTCTAGCTCCAGCCCTGCCTCCCTGGCTCCTCCAGGGGGTGGCCCAGAGCTCCTCCTGAGCCATATTCTCCAGCCCTATCCAGAAGGCATCTCTGGGGCAGACCCCACCCCTCCCCACAAAGGTCCCAGGGTTGGGCTGGGAGGGGCTCAAGGGAGAGTTGGCCCCACTATCACTGATTCTGCCCCCAGATCCCCCTGCCCCTGAGCCTCAGTTTTGCCATCTGGGAAATGGGAATCCAGGGATGAGACCCCCCCAGAGATTTTCCATTGCGCCTTCTTCCTCACCTTTGACATTCTGGGACAGCCAGGGACAGGGACAGGGACGCATCATGTTGCCACTGACCACCTGCCCCATGTTCATGGGAGACCAAATACACCTATGATTGGATTCCCAGCCCATGTGCAAGAGTGCACATCCCAGACAGCCTCCGTGCCCTGGTCCGCCCATCCCCTGCTCCCATCTGTCCCAAGCATGAGTCCCGCCCACGCATGGGGCTGATTGCATGGTCCTCATTTCACGCCATTCTCAAAACCCCACCCCAAGTAGATTTTATTTGTCCTCAGCTTACAGATGCAAGAGCTAAGGCTCTGAGGCCCTAGGGACTTCCCCAAGGTCACACAGGAGATGAACGGTGGGCCCTAGGTCCCCTAACTTCCAACCCATTTCTCTTTTGGCCAAACCACCGACTTGTGTCAGATACTCAGTAATGATACACATCTCAGCCCACGTTTGTATAACAGATTCACGTCCACGACCCCACAGGCACCAGTGCGCAGAGAGCTGCACACACACACACTGATTCCTGAGTGTGCACTAACATGTGTCTAGACACATGGCTTTGAGGTTTATTGAGCACCTGCTGTGGGTCTCGCTCTCATGGCTGCCCTGTGTGGTGCACGTGGTTTATTCCTCCTGGACAGAGGAGGAAGGGGATCCCAGAGAGGCTACTTGCCTGAGATCCCGCCTCTGTGTGAATGCAGCCACGCCCACAGCCCCGCCCTCAGAGAGCCTTGCTGGTGGGCGGGGCACGTGCACATGGCCAGACTCCTCAGCTGGAGAGTCCACTTCTCTGCCTGGGCCCCTTGTCTTCCTAGCAACACCTCCACACCTTCTTTTCTTGTCCCCGGCCATCATCTGTCCATCTATCTGTCTCTCCTGTCCCTGGAGGGGGTGGGGGCAGGGGGCAGGGACGGGGCACACAGCAGATTAGTATGGCCCTGGTGTTCCCAGAGGCCAGGGCCGTACTAATGATGGGGCTGATAGAACGCAGAAGTGTGAAAAGAATTTTAATAGATCTGACAAGTCTAATAAGAATTTGTGTCTAGAAGGGTCCTCCTCTGGGGCTGTGGGCTGACGAGGCGGTGATGGCTGAGATTTGTTTACTGGTTGGCATCTCCTGCCAACTCCCGATTAATCTAATTTGAGACATTTAGAGCCCAGGCGCGGGCACAAGGCAGAGGAGAAGGGACACGGAGAGACAGAGGGACAGGGAGGGCCATTGACAGAGGCCGTAATGAGAAATGTCACAGCCCCGCCCTCACCGGCCTCTGGCTTGACCCCAGGGAGAGGCAGCCTCTGCGGCACGAGGGGTGCCCTTGAAGTTGGCTGCTCATCAGCAAAGTTGGTTTCTTGGTGTCTCTTTGCCCATCTTGACAGGATGTGAGTCCTACTGTGCGCTGAGCCCTGCTGGCAGCTGCGAGAGGCTAAAAAGGATGACCCAGAGTGACCACAGGCACAAGCAGGACAAATTTGGTCTCCTCCAGCTCACATGCTATGTCTGACTGTGGGTCAGCAACCTTTCTGTGCCTCAGTTTCCACCTCTGGAAAATGGGAACAGCTGTACCATTGTTGAGATTGTTGGGATCGGTGAGAGGTGAAATGAGATTGCGTCCACCCAGCCTATAGTGAGTGCGCAATGCAGGAGGGATCAGGCTTTGTCTTTCTGATTGTTCCTCCCAGCCAGACCTTTCCATTCCACCCCCCGGAAGAGCTGGAGAGCCCAGCATAGAGTCAGGTATGAGGCACAATCAGGAGGAGTAGGCAGAGCCTTCAGCTAGCCAGGAAAGGTCACCTGACTTGACCACGTGCCCTGGGACCCCTCACATTTCCTAGAGTAGAGAATGGGGCCAGTGCAGGATTTGGGGTGTAGAGTGCTTCGTAGCCCCTTAAGTGCTGTGCACACACCAGGGGTTCCTCTGTAGGACGCTGCCAGTGAAGGTGTGGGGGTGGTTAGGAGCTGGCACCAGAGCACCTGGCCTTGAATTCTGGCTCCACAGCCTAAGAGCCATAGGACCTTTCAAGTTACACAGTGTCTTAGGGCCGGGCCTCAGCCGCATCATCTGTAAAGTGGGATCATGGACGTGAGCACACAGGAAGCGCGTAGACCAGGATGGGCGGAGCACCAGCTCGGTGGGCAGCAGTTCCTTCCTCTCTTCCTGCTGCTGCTCTGCAGTTCGGCTTCCTCCAGGTCCCCCAGGACCCAGATAAGAGCTGCTCCAAGAGATGAGATGCTTGAGGCCAGAGATCAGAGCTTCTCATGCTTCCACCCAGAGTGAGGGGCAGACCCAAGGCAGGACAAGGCTGGCCACCACCACCTCTGCTACCAGCTGGGAGTCTGGAGGCTGGTGACCTCAGGGACACCACTCAGGGGCTCAGCTCCAGCTCAAGAACCTGGGAAGCTGAGGAACACAGGGCCCATCCAGGCACTCCAAAAACCCCAGGACATTTGCATATCCTTTGGGAAACTAGGTGCAATCCCTGAGCCTCTATGCCCAGCATCTTAAAGTGCATCATCTCATTTAATCCTCATAAAAGCCCTTGAGGAGGCTGGGATTTATTGTACCCATTTTATAGACAAAGAAACCAGCCTGGAGAAGCAAAGTGACTTGCCCAAAGCTGCACGAACCAGAGATAGTTGGGACTCTGAGTTGTTTCATTTGCACCTCATTTCCTTCCTACCTTCATCAGGTAGGAATCCCACTGAATCCCAATCCTACAAAAACCCAAGGCCATTGAGCTCACTGAGCACTGACGAATCTCTTCATATACATTTTCTCACCTCATTCCCCACAATTCTTTGACCTAGGTGCTATCATCATCCTCATTCTATAGACAGGGAAACTGAGGCTTGTATAGGTGAGCTGGTGTGCCCCAGATCACAGAGTAGAAGTTGGCGGGTGCAGGATTTGAACCTCTAGGGAATATGTCCTCAATTACTGATAACTGCCCTCTCACTTCCCTGGGCCTTGCCCACTGGCTGTGCCCACACCTCCTGGCCCTACCCTCACAGTCCCTCAGTGGGCAGGTGACAAGGAGAGTATCAGGCCAGGCCTGTGATTCCAAGGCAGCACTCATTTGATTACTTCTCACCTCTGGATGCAAGAGATCCCAGGATTTGGATTGGCCACAGCCACGGATTCTGGCTTGGGAGGAGGCATCTCTGTGCCTCAAGAGACCTTGGTCACATGCCAGCCAAGTTACCTGGTCAGGGCTGATTTCTACTGTAGCCTCATGCAGGCACAGTTCATACAATCAAGACAGAACACATGCACGCTTGACCCAGCAGTCACACCTGCACACACACACATACCCTGACACGTGTACCCGGCTTAGGTATTACCCACCTGTATGCACCTACCTGTGTGTGCACAGGCATCCCCACTGTTCTACTCACACAGGTACACACGGCTTACCCGCATGTACATGTGTGAGCCTTGTTCATATGTGAGCGCTCACGTTCGTGCCCGTGACTACACAAAGGTTTTCATTTCCACTGTTTATGCATACTCAGACTCTCATCTCCCCACTCTGGATGGCCAGAACTTCAAAGCTAAAGGTCTCAGCTCTCTTCATATCAGGGTCCTGGCTTCTCCTTCTGCATTTATCCCTCAGCTCAACTGCAAATTCTACTTTGCTTCTTTTTTTAAATTTTTTATTAACATATAATGTATTATTTGTTTCAGGGGCACAGGTCTATGAGTCATCAGTCTTACACAATTCACAGCACTCACCATAACACACGCCCTCCCCAGTGTCCATCACCCAGCCACCCCATCCCTCCCACCCCCCCAAACCATAAGAGGCTCTTAATCTCTGCTTTGCTTTTGAGTAAGGGATGTTGCTTTGCCTCATCCATGAGCTGGGCTCAGGGTCCAGAGAAGACAGAAGGACCTTGCCCTCATTACTACCTGGGCTCTGTGGGATTCACTGGACTTTCCCCATAGCAGACATACATACAGGTGTGTTGGAACTAATTCTTCACTCAGCAATGTAGATATCCTCTGTACCTTCTTACAAAACCCATGAGAGAGCTGAGCAAATAGTAAGTGTTAAGTAAATATTTGTTGCATGGTCAGAGAGGAGATAAGAGGAAGAGTTTCATGAAAAGATGGATGGATGGGTGGGTGGGTGGGTGGATGGATGGATGGATGGATGGATGGTTGGTTAGTTGGATGGATGGATTGAAGAACAAGTAGACAGAAGGGTGGATGGATGAATCAATGCATGAATAAATGTATGTATGTATGGATGGATGGATGGATGGATGTGGGGCAGATGGAAGAATCGGCAAAAAGAACCTCAATTTCTAGGAGTTTCTCTCTCTCTTTCTCTCTCTTTTTTTTCCTCCAGCTGCTGTTGATTACCTGGCCAAAAACGTGAGCCTCTCCACACAGCGTCGTATGAAGCTTGGGGAGCATTCTGCTGTGCTGGGACTCCTGCCTGTGGAAACTGGCCAGGCCTACTAGGGCCCCTGGGACAACTTGCCCCAGACCAAGTCCCAGTCCAGCCCTTACTGATCCCTGAGCCTCCCAGCCTCCATCCTTTCATTGCCCTGGGGTCCCAGGAGGCCAGGAAAGGAGCCCATTCCCTTCTCATAGCCAGTGCTCTGGAGATGTGCAGCCAGTCTACCATTCACCTATGTTCAGGAGCCCAGAGTGACCCCCTTGGAGTCTGCCCCTCCACTGTCTCCCCCAGAGGGTTTCTGGTTAAGCCTGCAGTCCTCCCCCTAGTCAAATCCTGTCCTGGTCTCTGTGCTATCTCAGGCACAGAAATGGAAGCTCACCCTGAAGAGAGTACCTTGGGCACCCAAAGGAGGATGGTGGCTGGATGAGGTACTAGAGCCCTTTGGACAAGACTCCAGTGAGTGCCCTGGCCAGAGGTGGGGGTGGAGTTCAAAGGGTCACTCTTAGCTGGAAGCGCTGGGAACCAGCCCTCGCAGGTGGATCTCTGGCTTGGGCCCAGAACCAGAGCCCATTCCTCCTTTGGATGCCGGGATGTCAGCAGAGAGGACCCTAGCCCTGTGGTTTTCCCAGGGGAATCACCCAGGATTTCTGAGGACTCCAGGACCCTCCCCACACACCACTGCTGGGTGTAGGAGAGGAATCTAGCCCAAGCAGGGGGACCAGAAAGGGCAGATAGAGGCCTCCCAGGAAGCAGGGTTCACCAGCAGTGGGCTGCCAGGTACAAGGACCCAACCTAGGCACCCAGAGGCGGCAGGCGTCTAGACTGAAGCCCAAATGCCAACCTTGCCCACCCCACGTGGGGTCTGGGGAGCCCACGGAGCCCTTCAGTTTTCTCATTCTCTGAATCAGATGGGAGGCGGAAGGAGCGAGTTTTGTGTGAAGAGGCAGAGGGCAGGCTCAGAAGGGGGCTTCATAGCTGGGGTCCCTCTGCTTGTGGGCATCAGACCTGTATCACCAAAGTCTCCAGGGTTATGCCTTTGAGTCCACAACCCATGGAGCTGCAATCTCTCCCAGAGCCTCCCTCGGAGACCTGAACCTCTGGGAAGCGGTCCTCCATCTGCCCTTTAAGCCGCTGGGGTGCACAGAGCTTCCCTTGGAGCTCTGGAGGAGGTTTCTTGGACCAGCAAGGACTGCTTACCCACAGACAAGACCACTGATTCCCCTTAACATTTGGGGTGAGAGGGGGCGTGTCGCTGTCCCACTGACAGTGGCACCTTTCAGTGTTGATCCACTCTAGGCTGAGAAGGCCTTGTCTGGTCATCCAGCACAGCTGGGGTGGGGGTGGTGACATATGTGGCCAGTCTTCAGGTCACCACTCCTGTACAGGTGGGGGATGCCAAATGTTCCAGAGAATAGGGGAAAGGCGCCTTCCTTGGCCACACCCATGGTTTCCTCATATCTCTTCTCTTTAAAAGTAGAGACATTTGGGGAATGGTTCAAGCTCCTGACTATGCCTCCCTTGGGACTTTCCACCACCTTCACCTACTTTCAAAACTATATTCATCTTCTCCATCATCATGATTATAATCTACACTTGGATCACCTTTATCAAGTGCTGCTAGGTTAAAGGCACTTGTGACGGGAGACACAGCACTGAATCTGCAGAGACTGGGCCAGATTGCTTGTCCCCACCTGGGCATGTGAGGCCACCTCTTTGCTCAACCCGTGCCCCTTGCTCTCAGCCAACAAGACATTCCTGGAGGGAAGGGCTGCTGCCTTGGGAGTCAACCTGAGTTCCTCCCTACTGGGGAACTGGACTGGCAAGATGCTAGGATGCTTTCCTGCATGGACGCCTCCTCTGTGACAGAGGTTCACCTGCTTCTCATCTTCAGACTTGGTAATATCAAGCCTGTCCTGGACCGTGGCCAGGGGGGCTTGTATTTCTGGTGTAGAGGAACCTATTCATACATGGGGACAGATAGACTTTCTGGTAGCAGCAGATACCTGGACATGTGTAGCCCATGGAGTTCAGCCAAGGTTTCGAATGAAACATCTACTGCAGGAGACTTTTGATCCTTCAAGCTCTGGACAGAAAGGAAGACTGTGTCATCCCCTGGTGACCTGGTCCCCGTGTTTGAAACCAACACAGCCAGGAAGCAGCTTTTAAGATCAACCACGGTCTTCACTGACATTCCTTGAATGGTCAGTCCTCCCCGCTGGAAGACTGACTTAGAAATCGTTTGAGTCCCCTTACATACCCAGGAGCAGGGCTCTCAGGCAGGTGACATTAAAACCGCCCAGCCTCACCCCCAGGAGGTGACATTCCTATGCTAGGACCAATCCCAAACATCTGCCCTCTGTGATGAAATGGGAATAAACCAAGTGACTTATTATGTCCAACTTCTCTGGAGTTCTCCCAAGCAGCCATCTTGGTAGTAAATGGGACTTATTCCATCTGGAGCCCCGCCCCCTCAGAGAGAGACCCTGACCCTGATGGGTTTTCCCTAGAACCTTGTGTATTAATGTGTCTGGCCAACTTAGTTCATAAAACTCTGTCTTGTGTTGGCAGCTCACCCTTTCACTGGAGAGATAACGTGGGACAAGAGGTACAAGGCTTCAAACTCGAGGGTTGACCACAGCCTAGAAAGAAGGCCTGAAACTCAGTGGCCATGCCAGCCCAGAAACAATCCCCATCTATTCCTGTAAATAGAATCCATAGCAAAATAAGAGATGTTTCCTCCAACTTATCACAAGTAGCTGTTGGTCCTACCTATGGGGGGGGTCCCTCTTCTGAACTCATTGTATATTAGTTGGAAATGTGGTGATGTGCTGTTCGTTTATAGGGAGTTGACTTTTATATAAATATATATATATATATATATACTAAAAAAGGAAAGAAAACCCCCACAGTGTGTGTCGTGCTAGTGCCAGGGACCATCTGTAGGGATATATCTACATATTGTGTGTTTCAGATTATACATTCCAGGCTCTGTTGGGTTCTTTCATTTTTATTGCTTTGTTTTCTCATTTGGTATTTCTCTCTTGCTATGAAAAAAAAGTGATGTGTAAGAACCAAGCTATGCTTTATACTCTTATTTTTTACTTGATTTACCTTTCCCATTCTTTTGCCAGAAGAATATGAAGAAGAGAGATAGAGAAATGAGAGAGGACAGAAGGATGAAGAGGGAGTTTTGCCCAGAAGAAAAATGAGAAGGTCAGATTTCCAATCTGACTATGGCTTGAGAGCAGAACAGGTCCCAGACTTTGCCCAGACTCCACCAAGATCCAACGTTGTTTTAGATGGAGCTGGCAAAGCACTCTGAGATTTGAATCCTGGAACTTGGTGAAATTCCATGATTGCCCAAAAAAGACATTCTCTGTGGCCTCTCTCAGGTTGATATTCTTGCCAAGCTCCCAATGTGCCCTTCACTGCTGGACGCTTTTTGAAGTTGACAGCTCTGTCCTGCAAAGACACCAAACCAAGACCAAATGGGGGGCGGGGGAGGGGTACTCCGGCCACCATCTTGACACGCTCAGCGACAACTTTGTATTAAATGCTTTTTCTGTCAACTCTAACATGGCCAATCCCCCACCTGGGAAATATCTACATAGCACTCTAGATCATTCCTTCTTCCTAATAATTGCAACTTGGTTGCTTCCGTGTTTGACTCACAGCCATATTCCTTCATGTGTAAGTGAGTGTGTGTACGTGAGAGTGTGAGTGGGGTGTGTGTGTGGGCCTGTGGGCACAAGGGTGTGTGTTTAAATATAATCGCACCATAATTTATTCAGCTATATGGAATAGTAGACTAGAAAGAGAAACTGGCATTTGCTTTAACTACCTGCTTGTAAGTGCTTCCTCTGTAACTCAGGCGTAACTGTTATACATTAAAAGAAATTAAAGCATTTCCGAGGTTCTGTGTACTCAATTGATTGTCATTAGGCAGCTGTCCTAAAAGAAACCAAGGGGTGGTTGAGAAGCTGTTTGACCTAATTTAGGGGGTCAGGGTAGGACCACTTGGTCCTCCAGTGCCAAGCAGGTATTAGGCATATAGTGGATGCCTAATCAATATTTGATCAATGAATGGTGTTGCTTAAGCATCTTGCTGATGAAATTTCAGTTCTGTTCACTAGGCTAGATTTCTTGCTGCTATGTTTAGAGCCCTCTGTGGCCTTCTCCCAATATGTCGAATTTGGAAGGTAGGCGAGTACTCAGAAACTTTCATGTTTCAAAAAAAATGAGGAGAAGAGGAGGAGGAGGTGAATGAAGAAGAAGAAAAAGAAGGAGGAGGAGGGGAAGAAGAAGGAGGAAGAGGAGGAGGAGGAGCGGGGGGAGGAGGGGAAGGAAGTTTCCATGTTTCCTTAAGAAGCAGAACCTGATGTGGGGATTCATGGACAGGTGATTTTATGGAGGGAGAGCTCTCAATGGAAATGCATAAGGGAGTGAAGGAAATAACATAGGACAGGGGAAGGAGCTAAACAAAGAGGGAGCTTTAACTCGAGTCTAGTTTCAACCTGATAGTGCAGGGAGCTCTGGAGGATGAGTAGCACAGAGTTAGTCTCACCTTGAGTGTGGACAACTGGCCTTTTGTTCCAAAGTGTCAGTCACCCATTGGCTGCTGGCTGTCCCTCGGAATGTGGGTAGGTGAGTAAAGGCTAATGTGCCCAAGCGACTCTGGTCAAAGTGGCTCCTGTGGGCGGAGGGCAGTTCTCCAGAGAAAGGTGCGGCAGTGCACCCTTAGCAGCAACATCACATCCACTGGGGACAGGTACGCTGGCCCTGTAAAGGGGATCTGGGCAAGGAACAGCAGCATCAATGCCACATATGTTCCCCTGGTTCTAAATCAGGATACCCGTGTCATTCCAGGATACGGGTATACTCAGATGATGTGAATAGGAAGGGGAAATGTGTGGGAATTGCTGGGAGAAATTGTACATGAAGGACTGGTAAGGTGTTTCTACGGACCTGAGTCCATCTAACCCAGCCAAGTGCTCCACAGCAGGACTGAGGGAGGCTGGGCCTTCCCTCCCTCACTTAGTACCCCCCTTCCTTCTAGGAACCCAGGAATCTTATGTCAGAACCAGGGCTGCCTCCCACGCTCCCCACCCTCCCACCCCCAACTGTGTAGCTATTCAGTCAGTCAGGAAGATATGGGGAAGAGTCAAGAACTGGTCAAGTAGTACCCTTAGTTCTGCATGTGACTTGAGGTGGGTCCTGAGAAAATTTTCTCCCTGTCTCAGACCCTATTTCTCTATATATTTTTTTAAAACAGGCTAGATAATCCCTAAAGGTCTTTCAGGTTACCCTGATAATAAACTGAGCTGAAAGCTGGTCTGGAATGTGGCCCAGAGAGTGCCCCAATGGCTCAGAGCTATCCACTGTCAGTGGTGGGAAAGCAATGCTCAGTGCTGGGTGCTGAGTGATGCCAAGTTGCTCCCAGACACAA